TAATAATAATAATAATAAATTCACACAGGAGGGAGGAAGATCAATGCAGAAACTATTATTTCTTGTTCCTGCACTGATGAAACTATGATTTGCTTCACAAATTTTTAAGCCACAATTTCCTTCATCATTGTATCTTGAGTAAGTCTGAGTTTGAATCATATGGCATTTTTAGGGCAAAACCAAACAAGTTAAATCAATTAACCAGTGGAACAACTTACCTCCAGAAGTTATGAATTCTCCAACATTGCAAATTTTTAAGAAGAGATTGGACAATCATTTGTCTGAAATGGTATAGGGTTTCCTGCCTGAACAAGGGGTTGGATTAGAAGACCTCCAAGGTCCCTTTCAACTCTGTTATTCTAATTCTAAATTCAGATGACAAGTCACATTATGATTCAGTACAATGTGTGAACCTATTTTTTCACTGTACATAACCTGCAGTCATTTGTAAGCTAAAATAAACTATCTTCATCTTAAATTTAACTCCTAGTGACTTGACGGATGCATTCTCCATAGGTTTCTTAGTAGTAATATGGAAGTGGCTTTTTTTTTTTTTGGCTTCCAGTCTAACCTACATTTCTGGGATTTGCTGGGAATCTGATATCCAATTACTTATCACATTTGATCTTAAATCACTTTTGAGATCAGTTAAGATCACCTAGCCCTGCAAGTGATTAGAGCCATCCTACCCAGATCCACAGTTTCCAGCATTCAATTGTCAGTAACAGCAGAATCTCTTACTCTTGACGTGGAAGAAAACTGGGCCCATATCCTTGAGCTATCTAGAATATATTCTACTGATGTACAATATGTTTTAGAAGAGATGTAGATCCTATTTCTCTGCTATTCACCGGGCCCTTTTAGGATTATTAAAGCCCACAGCTGCAACACTCTGTACTAAATAGACCATATAATATTCAATGAACTTAAGATAACAAGAAAAAGAAAAGCATTTTCCTTCATATTTGTAGGTGATCCAGTCTGCCTTATATAGAGTATAAGGGGGCTTTTGCATCACATTTTGGTTTAGCATGATCAGTCATGTCCCAAAGGAAGACTACAATAATTTGCCACAGCAGTGATTTATGGAGGGCTGAATACCCTCAACCAGCAATAGAGAACAGGCAATCCCATATGGAAGTGTATTTGTGAATGTGCAAAGATACGTTTTGTTCTTTACAGCAGTTTAAGCCATCTTGCATATACAATGGTTCAGTGTGAGGAAAGTCTCTTAAGTACAAGAATGGTTTGTTATCTGCAAGTACAATTATAGCTTCCATGGAGTAGGCAATTCTGAAATCTTATCCAAATGCTAATCCAGGATTAGATTAGAACAAGGCATGCAGGTAAGTGCCCTCATTAGGATATAGTGATGATGCTAGCAAAACTCTGCACCTTCCCAAAGAGGTGTATCATTCTTCTTCTGAGCCCACACCCAAATCCTGTGATGTACTCTCTTCCTTCCAAAGCTTTGCGTCTTTATACACTGACAATAGTTGTCTGTGAAACATAACCTTTTCTGTGAGCCCAGAAGGCAACAGATGCTGCTCTTATTTTACATTCCTCTCTGGAAACAGAGACCTCTGGCCTTGAATGGGAAGGGGGGAAAATTATTTCCTTGGTTTGATGGAGATCAATTCGGATCACCCATTCCACTTGTATCTGAGAAATAATGGGCATTACTTTGGAGTGGAGTGTAAAGGAACTTCAAACCCCCAGCCAAACAATACTGTTTATGCCAAATAGGGGTTATTGTATTGTTCTTCATAACTAGATGCCCATTCTGAAACTGTTAAAACTGTATTTTGAAATCAAGCTAAAACAACTCTAAAAGAAAAGGGGAAAGGGGAGGAAGATTATAAAGAAAGACTGAAGAATGTAAGTGGTTGATTTTTTTACATGTTCGAGCTGAGTTTCCAACTTGTAGCCATTCTTTGATGAATGTGGCCCAAACTAGCCTCAGCTCCTATAGCTTGATGCTTAAGAGACACCCCCCTCAAAACAAATGGGAAGCTTGTGCAAATTTAAGCAAGGTGTCACAGTGCAGAAGCAAAATCAACAATATCTCCTCAATTACTATTCTCTTTGGGGGGGGGAGAAAAGGCCCTGTTTAAATTTAAAAAATGTATTCTTGTGCTGCAGATAATTTCAAACAAACTGAGAAATAAAACAATGTACAAAGAAAACTGGCTGAAATGGCATTTATTGCATATTCTGAAGCATCTAGCACAGAGGTGGGATTCACTTACCTTCCCCACCAGTTTGCAAATGTGAGTTTGCGTGCTTTGCTCACATGCACCTTGTCTGCACATGCACAGTGCTTGCACATTACATCTGGATGGGTGGGCGGAGTCTCCCGCAGCCGCCACTACCAGTTCGCCCAAACTGGAGCAAACTGGCTGAATACCACCTCTGATCTAGCATCATCACACACATGGCATTGGAACCCTTGCCTTACCTTGTACTCTTTCTCTTTTATTAAAAACTAAACACCTAAATTAATGCCACAAGCATACATGTAAATTAGTCCAGCTGACAGCAGTTTGGTTATACCAACCTCTGCTCACATTTATATAGTCCAAGTTTGCTTCCACATTTTCTTTGCATACTCACTTTCCAAGGAACATCTGGATTTTAATCTTAGCCATCCCATAGTTTGTTCCATTTGCAAGTCGGCCCCAAGGATAAATGCAATCCTCTTTCATCCCCCTTTGTTTCCAGTATCTGCCCACTGAATACATGGGGTGAAGTTTCTGGGAAGGAACTTTTGAATGTTGAGTTCACTGCTCCCTTTAATCCCTAAAAGTTTCTAGGTTGTTTCCTATGGCTTCTCTCCAGAAACAACAAGTTCCTCTTTGTAGAGCTTCTTCCCAAATTGGGCAATGACACATTATTTTGGGACTCGGGGGATATGGGCAGAAAACTGAGATAAAGGCAAATCGTCATATCCCACCTGGTCTTGTGCTGGAGTAAAGAAGAAAGTCTGCTTCTCCATTTTTTTAATTACTGCAATACTATTTATAGATACCAGTGTTGTTTGCTGCTGATACTGAGAAGCAGCAGTTAACAACAGTAGGCAGGAGACCCTTTGTACAATTTTGCAATGTGTACCAATTGCGCCCATATCTGGATTGAAATGCCTTGCTCACCGTTATTTTGCCGTGGTCACCACCTGGTTGACTGTTGCAATGCGCACTACATTGGCTGCCTTTGAAGGCACCCCAGAAGCTACAATTTGTCCTGAATGTTGTGGCAGGATATTTATGGGTATACCACTATATGTCTGGGTAATACCTTGCAAGCTCTACTGGCTGCCTGTAGATCTGCAGTTCAAGGTTCTATTTATCACCCATGAAGTCTTACATGGCACAGGCCTGGAGAAATCACCCCCAATGCTACCTGACTGTTCCACATGTCTAACAGGGTGGGTGTGCCCCAGGGTTCTTCCCTAAAACTATACCATCTGCCGAGACTAGGAAGTATGTCTTTTCTGCTCCCGGCACCTGCCTTCTGGAATGGCCTTCTCTCTGACATTTGGTTGGTTACAACCACAGTGGCCTTTACAAAGGCAGTTAAAATCTCCTCGGGTGTTAGGGTCAGGATGACTGGAGTTCTCATTTGGAGGATGACAAGAAATTGTCAATTCCTGATCACAGCTAACACAGCCAGGGTGTTAGAGGCACAAGGGGCGGGGGTGTTATCTCCTATCTTGAGAATTCAGTATTTGAGAATTTGAGTGGTGGTGGCACAGTGGTTAGAATGCAGTACTGCAGGCTATGTCTTCTGACTGCCAGCTGCCTACATTTTGGCAGTTCAAATCTCACCAGGCTCAAGGTTGATTCAGCCTTCCATCCTTCCAAGGTGGGTAAAATGAGGAGACAGATTGTTGGGGGCAATATGTCTCTATAAACTGCTTAGAGTGGGCTGTAAAAAGCACTGTGAAATAATATGTAAGTCTCTCAGGAAACTTTGGGAATCTCCAAAAACAGAAGTGAAAGACGTGAAATTGAGCTAGCTATGCAAAAACTATATAATTTTTACTTAGCTTGGCAATCTCAAGAGATATTTTTTTCCAGGTCAGATAAGCTTGGGATCAATTCTTCTTTTAAGTTTGGAAGGGATGTTCTGATTTTT